GCAGGACTGTAACTTTGTTGCTTGTATCCTTATGATTTTATTGATATTGGTTGTTTCCTGATTGCTTATTTGTACCCTATGACTATTATTAAGTGCTGTACCTTATGATTCTTGATGATTGTAACTTGTCTTTATATGTACACTGAGAGCAAATGCACCAAAGACAAATTCCTTGTGTATCCAATCACATTTGGCCAATAAAGAATTCTATCTATCTGTTTCTGACAGACCTAATGTGATTGGGGAGAAGCAGTCCCTCAAATAACCTGGCTCCATGCCATTCAGGACTTTAGAAATCAGCAGCAGCACCTTGACTTGAACCCCCAAACAAACTGGTAATCAGTGCACTCGCTGAACAGAGATGCAATGTGCACTGATCTATGGGTAATCTTTTTAGTGATTGTCTTGTAGGGCACTTGTTCAGAGCTATGACAGGGATTAAGAAGTAACTTTGCAACTAATGCTTGCATTTATAACCTTTGCAGTCCTGTGAAGCAAATAAAAGTTGAAGTAAGTACAGTTGAATTTTTACTTGGTGAACTTAAGTCACTTAGGCTTAACAACCATATTCCTGGTCCCAATGTTATTCTCCAAACCCTAAGCCACTCAGTCTTGCCAGGGTTGAACTAAAGTCTTTTGTTCCCCATCCAAACTCGTACAACCTCCAAGGACCAAGACGGGACATCAGCATTATTGCTTACTTCACCAGGGGCAGAAATATACAGCTGGCATCATCAGCATACTGATGATATTTCACCCCATGGCTACAGGTGACCTCCTCCAATGGTTTCACATAGATGCTTTAATAAAATGTCTTAGCATGATGTTTTTGCTGTTCTCTTTCCCTCTGTCTTTTCCTGCTGGTAATGAAATAATTGATGCTGAGCTAATGTGCATCCCCTTGGAGCCCCTCCTTATCTTGGCAATAGGTTCCATCTTATTTTGGGGTTACACTTGGAAGGTAATGGCATCAAGAAGCTTGAGGCGCTTCCCTACTCTTGTAATGGCATAACCTCATGATACAGCATCGTTCTCAGGTGGCTCCAAAGGAAAATAAAAGTGACAGCCTTGTACGTCCCTTCCTCAGATGTGTAGTGACACAATGGACATCATGCCAAAAGCACTCTCAGGGCCCTAAAGCAGCCCTGAAAAGAACTGTGTTACTGTAGCTGTAGATACACCAGACCCAGTTATTTACCTGTAAATAACGGGCAATGTTTCTTTCCAGCAACAGGCACATTTTTAGCAGCTGCCTTTGCTTTCCATTTTTTATGCATTCATTGACAATCACAGAGAAGGGGTGAATAAATAAATAGTGTATAAATGTCTGTGTCACTACAGCATTCCATTGATTGAAAGTAAAAGTGTTAATGGATGCACACTCACTCTTTGCTCTTTTATTTTGCATAGGAAGCAATCGGTTTTACGACAACATTGAAGATATGATTGGATACAGACCACTGGTAATGTTTAAATGGTGTTGGATGTTCCTTACTCCTGGCATTTGTGCAGTAAGTAATAAAACTTGTGATTTATACGAGAACACAATTAGTAAGACTCTGGCAAGGTTTTCATCAGGTTGTCTTTGTTCAAATAATTTTGCAGAAGTAGATAATACAAGGAGAATGCAACAAATCTCAAGTGGTTAAGTGAAAAAAAAATCTTACGAAATATCCTTAGCTATTTTTTATTGATCATGTTATATTAGATTTTTTTTCCCCTTTTTTCCTATTCCTATCCATCCTGATTCAGGCAAGCCATTGTTTCTTGCCATCTTCAAGTGTGTGTGTGTGTGTGTGTGTGTGTGTGTGTGTGTGTGTGTGTGTGTGTGTGTGTACATATCTGTGTGCACCTTTGAATCAGTGTTTACTCCTGATAGCTGCCTGGACAGGTCCTGATTTTTTTTTTTGCAAGATTTCAGAAATAACTTGTCATTGCCTCCTTCTTAGGGCTCAGAGACAGTGACTGGCC